TAATGATGACATTTTTATACTGGACAACTTCTTATCTGGGACATCAGACACCAGCAGAGAAAATCTGAGCAGCTTTTTCCTACCGATTGGAAGGTGATCTGCAATTCAACCACCCGGAGGGTTACCAGACTCTTGAGATGACTTATGAGCCGAAGGTGGGATTTCCCTCGACACTGGAAATCAGCTGAAATCTAGAGTCGAAAGTTGGCTCCTGAGGGGGGTCGGTTGATGAGCTCCCGGAGGGCTGCGTTTTCTCCTTCTGGTGGCAAAGATCTTCTGACAATAAATATCCAATTGTTTGACCTTACTTCTTCAAAGCTTCCTTCAGACTGCTCTAAGCCAAAAATGTCAGAAATAAATTTCTTTGACTTAGAGGCGTTACAATGTGATGGTCTAGCCAATCACGACAGAAGGGTGGACCTTCTTTCAAGTTACTGTTGAACTTTAATAACCTTAATAAAAATATTAAATGGCTAATTTACTCTGCTTTGGTAAATTCTCAATATAACAGAATAATCTAACTTCTAAGCAGCTTTTTACTCATCCATAAACATTTTCATTAGAACTTATGCACACAGTTGTAACTTCTGAACACCAGTTTTATATCAATTTCCTTTATGCATGATTACTGAGTATTGAGCTTAGAAAGTAAATAAACTTAGCCATTTTTACAGCAAAACATTCAATTGTGTTCAGGACAACTCAGACATTTAACTTGTTAAAGAAATGATTTCTACCGTGAGATGGAAAGAAGAGTCCTTGAAAACAATGGGGTCTTTCTCACACTCTAAGTCTGGAGGATGAATCCTCCCTGCGTACGTTTTAGATGTTATATTTCACAGGTCAGATGGAAAAGTTCTCATACAAAAGGGCCTTTCAGCTTTTCTGAAATCCTAACACCAGGTGTGCAATTAATTACAATAACAGGTTTTTGTTATTCATCTTATATGATAACATGTGATTCACATATGGTCCAGCTTTGGGGATGGAGAGTCAGTCTTAAATTCAAAGTATCAAAAGAATAAAAGTTAATGATAGCAAAACCTTGATGTGTCCCTACACTTGTCTGTACTCCCTTGTGTGTCTCATCATTTATGCAATTAATTTCACTCTTGTCTCATGCCAGCTATTTGTAATCACATCCTGTCTTGTCTGGGTATATAGTCTGTCTGTTAGTTTTGTTCTTTGTCGCGTCATCGTTGGGTCTACCCTGTCTTGTCCTGATCTGATGTGTACCAGTCCTGACCTGAGTTGTATCCCCAGTTTTGTAAGTGTACTGCCACGTCAGCTATTTAATTTATTATCATTAAAAATATTTATTTTTGTATCTTCTGAGTCCGAGTCCCTGCCTGCATCTATTGGGTTTGTTCCTGCCTGATAAACCCTGATATATACCACCAGACCTCTGCAGGCTGCAAAGCTGATCAGTTGTTGTGATTGGCTCTGAAAGGCATTGATCGGTATCAGCCGATCACATACTTTTTAACAGAAATCGGCCGATCATGACCGGTGGCCGATCAATCAGAACAACTCTACTAAGAAGAAAAAACAAACATTGGTCTGATGACAAAATGATTTTTTTAATCACTAATCTGTGGGATCAGATGTTTACTTTGGCAAAAGCATACTCACCAGATTAAAAAGCGGCACACCAGCATTAAAATGAAAGGAATCTGCTCGTAAAGGTATTAGGTGTAACAAATATTTGCTACCCACCGCAAATTAAAGTATAATTGCTTGAGTGTGTGTACATCTGTGTGTGTTGGCTCAATACACTGGACAGATTTTCATGAAACCTTTTAAAAACTATTGGATGCACATTGACCTTAGGAAACATTATATATCTCTATCAGTTTCACAGATGTTGAGCTCAAATTTGATGTGGCAGTAGCAAACATTTAATAGAACATGCAAGACTTTACAATAATGCATGAAAACGCATATCAAGATTTGACCAAAAGGGCTTCATCCCATCCATCATTTTCAAGATAAGATTTTTCAGGTTAAACCTCTTAGCTGGCAAAATGCCTTCCAGTAAATAAATGCTAGACGTTTACTTTCCAAATGCACATCCCACAAGGTAAAAAATGAACTGCTGTGAATGCACTTGCTTCCTTTAAATTGGTCATCAACCTACCTGTCCGGCTGGACCAGTCTGAACAGAAAACTCTGAGGCAAACTTGACTTGAAAATGATACTACGGCATTATGCCATCCTCACGCACGTAGGTGATGTTGGTGCTGGAACCAAGACGTATGCAATGAAGCTTGAATGTATGCTGCATAAAAGCCAAAGGAGAATAATTGGGGCGATGACAAGGGTGTCTGTGCTGGGCAGCAGTGTGTCAGCTGCTCTGAATGTCTGGAATCTAAAAACAATGACTGAAAGAAGGAGTGGAAGAGTTGGAGGAGTGTGATAGAAATCACACACGGGAGGGACGTCTGGTGAGCCACAGCTCCTGACAGCTTACACCTTAACCTGGGAGACAAAGCTGTGCAGAAGGTGAGCAGCGCTGTGAGCTGAAACTGTTTCGTTTTTTTTAAGCTGGAAAACAAACTATTTACCAATATTTGAACTTAAAGATGTTTCTTTTCTTCTGTTTTGTTGGATCAAAGCTGCTGGAGTCTGTAACTTTTATCAAAAGGGACTGAAGTGAAGCAATCAAAACTGTTGGTAACGTCAAGATATCTGATGTTCTCTGTACAGATTGTAAAATGTGCTTTTTATCAGCAAGGACTAATGAGAAACCATCAAGGTCTGCTGTCAATGCCAAAATATTTGATCTACTCTGGACAGCTCTTGGCAGCCTGGAAATAGCATGACTTTTTACCACATTGATGAAAGAAAGAAGCACGTGATTGAGTCATTGATCTGAATTGTCTGGATTTAAAACAGTGGGATCTCTGAAAGGCAGCACAGATTCACGGAGACAAAGATGTCCAACTCTCACGAACAGAGTCTGAACGAGAACGTAGTTTTCCTGCCAGTTGACAAATCCTCGCCGGAGTTCCTGCACTGTGAGACGGAGCGTGAATCTGTGGAGAGGCTCCTCAGTGGGGGACCGGAGGCCTTCTACAGCTCCGTCAGCTCGGAGCACGCCGCCTGCTTCTTATCTCCTGAAGAGGTGAGCCAGATAAGAAGCTGGGCTCAGAACTATCATGTCAAGGAGCTGCATGTGGAAGAGCAGAATGGAGTGGAAAACAGTTTTGAGACAGAGGACTTCTGTTCCACTTATGCCCCTTGCCACTCGGATGCACCGATCCCAAACCTGGAGCTCGGCTGGCCAGTGAGATCACCCACGGTGAAGACGGCGGAGGTGATGGTCCACACCAGTCCTCCTCTTGAAGGAGAGCCACCTGTCAGAGAGATCATCAGACGGTACCTGCAAAATGCAACACAAGTAAGCACAATAAAACACACACATTTCTATGTACATAAAGAAGAGGAAGACACCAATAAACACCAATAAAGACCTTTCTTTAATAAAGTTACTTCTTTACAAATTAGAGTATACCAAATATTAAATTGCAGTACCATACTTGCACATCGCATTAGTCCAAATATGTCTGATAAAGTGGAAAAAACATAAATAAGGCTTTTCACCGTATAAATGGCATTTGTTATGTGTCACCGCTGACCACCCAGAAATGTGGGCCGGTGTTGTGCCAAAAATCAACTGGCTGTCAAATGGCGGCCGTGGGAGCGTGCACGGGAGGACTTTAACAAGATTAACACTTAAAAACAATTATTTGTTTGTTCAAAATTATAGTAAAGGTGTGTCTTAGTTTAACTTTTCCTTAATAAATGCACTTTAACGGTCAAATCAGCTGCATTTCAAAAGCTGATTCAAGGCAGTGGCAGTGCGCAGAGGGAGGACTCGCTGTGCATTTCTTCGAAATTTAACAAGATAAACTCCTAAAAACAATTATTTGTTTGTTTGACATTATAGTAAAGGTGTGTCTCAGTTGAATTTTTCCTTAATGCACTTTAATGGTCAAATCAGCTGCAGTTCGCCTGGGTGGTGCAGCGAAGTGCAGCTGATTTGACGTTTGCTCCAGGAATTCCTGAGCGAGATGATGGTGGTTTTATATGGCAAGCCAAGTGTCTCATTAATATCCACTTTTACCTATGAACGAGACACTTGGCTTGCCGTATCACTCGAGGACCATCTAGCAGCTGAAAATGGTAGTGTTCAATATTTTCCATGTCAGAATGAATGAAATCGTCAGATCTCAGCCAAACATTGGATTATAAATATGGGGACATATGTATATTAGTCGCTTCGGTGTATAAGGCACAGGACTTGTAAATTTATGCAAAAAGGTGTGACTTATACAGCGAAAAATATGGTATATATTTTGTTGATTTACATTGTATCTTACTCAATGGATTCTGCTGCTATAAAACCATAACAACCAAAGTATGTTTAGATGTACTTAAAGAGACAAAAATCTTGACAATGAATACACTTACATTTAAAACTCCCTTCATGAAGTATAAAGTATTGCATGCAAAGTAATCATTATTTAATAATTAATTGCATATGATCATGATTTGCATACACACTGCTCAAAAAAAAAAAAAGGGAACACCTAACAAAACAATGTAACTCCAAATCCGTCACACCTTTGTGGAATCAATGTCACCAGTTCGGTAGTAACACTTATTGTGAATCAGTTTCACGTGCTGCTTGTCAAATGGAACACACAACAGCTGGAATGAGAGGCAATTAGCAAGACAACCCCTATAAAAGAGTGATTCTGCAGGTGGTGACCACAGGTCATTTCTCTGTTCTCGTCCTTTTTGGTTGAACTTTTGGGTCACTTTTCCATTTTGTCAGTGCTGTCACGCATAGAGGCATCATGAGGCGTTTTTACAGCCCACTGAAGTTTCTCAAGTAGTGCAGCTAATCCAAGATGGAACATCAATGTGAGCGGTGGCAAGAAGATTTGCTGTGTCTCTCAGCACAGTGTCCAGAGCATGGAATAGGTACCAGGAGACATTGAGGGGGTCGTAGGAGGGTTACGATCCAGCAGCAGGACCGCTACCTCATCCTTTGTGCAAGGAGGAACAGGAGGTCCACTGCCAGGGCCTTACAAAATGACCTACAGCAGGCCACTAATGTGCATGTTTCCACTCAAACTGTCAGGAACAGAATCAACTAGGTTGGTATGAGGACACAACGTCCACATATAGGGCCTGTGCTTACAGCCCCACACCGTGCAGGATGATTGGCGTTTGCTAGGGAACACCAAAATTGGCAGATTCGCTATTGGCGCCCTGTGCTCTTCACGGATGAAAGCAGGTTCACACTGAGCACATGTGACAGACGTGACAGAGTCTGGAGACACTGTGGAGAACGTTATGGTGCCTGCAACATCCTCCAGCATGACCGGTTTGGTGGTGGGTCAGTCATGGTGTGGGGAGACATTTCTTTGGATGGCCGCACAGCCCTCCATGTGCTAGCCAGAGGTGCTCTGACTATCATGAGGTACTGGGATGAGATCCTCAGACCCATTGAGAGACCATATGCTGGTGCAGTAGGCCCTGGGTTCCTTCTTATGCATGACAATGTTAGGCCTCATGTGGCTGAAGTGTGTCAACAATTCCTGCATGATGAGGGCATTGATGTTATGGACTGGCCTGCCTGTTCTGAGACATCGTGTTTCGGTCAATCCACCAAGGCCACATTGCACCACAGACTGTTCAGGAGCTAAGTGATGCTCTAATCCAGGTCTGGGAAGAGATCCCTCAGGAGAACATCTGTCGTCTCATCAGGAGCATGACCAGGCGTTGTTGGGAGGTTATACAGGCACATGGAGGCCACACACACTACTGAGCTTCATTTAGACTTATCTTCTTGAGGAATATTCACTGATGTTGAATCAGCCTGTCATGTTATTTTCCACTTTCATATTGAGTACGAATCCAAATCCAGATTATTGTGTAATAATTTTGATTTACATTGATAATTTTTGTGTTATATTCTTCTCACTCAATTCCACTGTTCTAAAAATGAAGTTTGTCAATGAGAATTTTTTTTTAATTGAGGTCTAGGATGTGTTATTTTAGTGCTCCCTTTAATTTTGTGAGCAATGTATTTTTATTAGGCAGTAAGTGAGAAACATGTGCGTCGCAGCCACCAACTTTCTGACCAAAAAGCTAGATGTGGGAAGAAAATCAAAAGATTTAAACAATGTTGTTTTGCTTGTTTCGTGTCACTTTGCAAGAGAAAAGTGGGACGACAGAGTGCGGTCAAACAGGGAGCGACCTGCTGCAGTAATTGTGGTAATTTAGGGCTGAAAAAACAAACATTCCTCTGCTTAGAATGAGCACATAAAAAGGTTTTTCTTCAGTTATACTTGTGCAGTTTCTTGGCAGAGTGTTTCATCGTGAACAAATCGATGAGAAAGAAAGGTTTTAGGCTCACAAAGGCTTGTTTGTGCTTTGCAGGCAGTTGGCATTGTGACAGACAAACTGACAGACAATGCCATAATTGGTGATTTACACACTGCTGCCTCCAGAGGTGTCCCCGTCTACATCGTCCTGAACCAAAGGTCCCTTCAGGAGAATTTCACCCTCCACAAGCTCAGGCATCCGGTGAGTTCACACCTAACCCTCAGGGACATCTTTTGATACATACACTTGATGAATCATTAAAAACTCAACACACTGCACTGATTCTCCACACACTCAGCCCTTAAACCTGCAACTGCGTTCTGTTGTTTTGGCGTGCTCGTGTTAGGAATGTAAAATGTTGATTCAGCCACATGAGGCTGAACTGGTTTCACAACATTCAGCGCAGTCTGTTTGGTTCAAGTGATGGAAATCTCGTCTGATTTTGATTTGCAAATGAGAAGAAAAAAAAAGAATGAATCGTTAAGAGGAGCGACAATTTGGAAATAGAGGAAAATCTATGTTATTATTTTATATTTCATTGGTTGCCATGTAGCACGGTGGCACAACTGGTATAGCTGCTGCCTCTCAGTGAGCAGGTCCTTGGTTCAAACCCCGGTCCAGGGGCCTTTCTGGGTGGAGTTTGCATGTTCTCTCCGTGCATGCGTGGTTTTTTTCCGGGTGCTCCGGTTTCCTCCCACAGACCAAAAACATGCATGTTAGGCTGATTGGTAACTCTAAATTATCCCTAGGTGTGAGTGAGAGCGTGAATGGTTGTTTGTCTCTATGTGTCCCTGTGATGGACTTGCGACCCATCCAGGGTGTACCCCGCCCCTCGCACAGTGATTGCTGGATATGGGCACCGGCGACCCCCGTGACCCAAAAATGGAATAAGCGGGTAAAGATAATGGATGGATGATGGATGGTTGCCATGTTGATAACAATCAGGTATGGATTTTTTTTTTTAGCATGCTAGCTGTGTGGCATTATGCAACAATAGTTTTGACTGAAACACCAACAAATGTCTGGTGGAAATAATGCACATCTTTACTGATTCTTTCTTGAGTCCTGAATGCACCATCTATGTCAATGTCTGATGAAGTAAAAAGGTCCATGCAGCTACTGCTCAGAAATGCTGACATAAGGAAAAGCATATATTTTTAAAATCTTCTACCAAGACATAATATATAAAAAATTAGATAAAAACACAGCCTACGGATTAAAGAAAATAAAATCTCATTTACAAAACACAACAATAGAAGCCATCTTGTTTGTTTTCAGTTGACTTTAATTTTAGTACTGCATTTTTTTAACAATATTTCAAATCATCTGAACAAACAAGCCCTTCAGCTGATTTTAAGAGAAAAGAGAAAAAAAGAATATATATATTCAAAGAGACTTTCTGTTCTGATGCACATCAGCTCAAGCCACAAAGCAAGCTCATCAAGAGCTCTTTATTTCCATGTCAAAATCAAGTTACTGAAAAATTCCAGCTTAACTTTTTAAAATATAGCATACATTAAAGTAATGCCTATGAGCTGCTGACTTGCATGACAACATTTTAAACAGATGAATCTTACTCAGTCTGCTGGTGCATGGGATAAGACATGAGGCTCAACTACTACCACTCCAAGTTTTAGGTCGGTGTCTAAAAAGTTGACTGAGTTGTAGCCATTTTTTGCTAATGTTGATTTGCTGTGAAGGGTGGCACGGTGGCACAGTTGGTAGAGCTGCCGCCTCTCAGGAAGTAGGTCACCGGCTCAAATCCTGGCCAGGGGCTTTTCTGGGTGGAGTTTGCATGTTCTCTCTGTGCATGCGTGGGATTCCCCAGGTACTCCAGTTTCCTCCCACAGACCAAAAACATGCATGTTAGGCTGATTGGCAACTCTAAATTGTCTCTAGATGTAAGTGAGAGAGTGAATGGTTGTTTGTCTCATGTGTCTCTATGTGTCCCTGTGATGGACTGGAGACCTGTCCAGGGTGTCTCCTTCCTCTTGTACAGTGATAGCTGGATATGGGCACCAGTGACCCCCGCGACTCGAAAAGGAAGAAGCGGGTAAAGATGGATGGATGGATGGATGGATGGATGGATGGATGGATGGATGGAT